CCGGCCGTCGGAGGAGGGCCCGAGGGCGGGGGGCGGCCGGGCCGGCCGGCGACGGGCCTGCGGAGCCGTGGGGACGCGCCCGGGAGGGGACACCGCGCAGCACCTGTCACTCCCCTCCTCGGGCGGCATCGACCGAGGCTTTGTGCCGGGCGTGCTCCCGGGCCAGGGAATAAGTGGGGGCCAGACAACGCCGGCAGGGTCTCTCTCGGGTCCTGGATCAAAGCCTGGGTATTGAATGAAGGCTCGGCAGGCTAATTATCACTCCACACGGGTTGAGTCTTTTTGCGCCAATCCCGGGTGACTAAAATTGAGCTTACGTTTTTTGTTCCTGGAAGTCCCCGACCAGATGCGTGGATCGAAAGTGGTGGACTGTAACCCTAAAATAACGCAGGCTTGGAGGACCCTAGGAAAGTTTTTTTCCGAACTGATAGATAAATTCCAGGGATGGGTTTTTGTTTCATAGGTGAGGACGGTGACTGCCTAAAAGGATGTCCGGTTCTGTTGGCAGCAAATCACGGTCCTTTTAAAAGCTGTCAGTCCAAATGCGCGTGAACCTGCTGAGCTTTACTCGCCGGGAGGCGTACGTGTCCGCACGTGCGCACACGCTTATTTCTTACAAATGTTGGTCTTTCGCAAATGAGCATGAAGAAAGAAACCCTAAGATCGAGTTTTCAGAATAATTGTCTAGTGAGCCTCCAGATGACATGTGACTTACGGAGTATCACAATTGCCTTCCAGGCTGGTGAGCGTTGTTTACAGACTTAGGGGAAGATAACTCTTGATTTTCTGAAAAGGGTTTTTGTTTTGTTTTGCCGCTAGCATGGGTGACGTGAGAGGTTGATGTTAACATTCTCAACAGCCGAGATGAAAAAAAAAAAATGCTTATATTAATGTGATTCTGTTTCTTCATACTTTAGGAGGAAAATAAAATTTTGTTTTACCATCCAAATGAAGTAGAAAAGAATGAGAAAATTAGAAATGTTGGATTATGTGAAGCTATTGTACAGTTTACAAGGTAACGCCTTTAAATGCGCTTTTGCAGAGCTCAGTGAATTCTTACACCTCGTACAACTTGGAGAACCGTCCCAAACATATTCTTTTTTAACCTTTTTAGGACCTTTAGTCCATCAAAACCTGCAAAGTCTTTACATACACAGAAGAATAGACAGTTCTTCAATGAACCAGAAGAGAATTTCTGGATGGTCATGGTATTTACATACACAGTACATCTTTTTGAATTTGTGTAGCGAAGTTATGGGTGATCTTTACTGTTAGGACTTTAGGAAAGTCCTCTAGCTTTTGCAAAGTAAAATCACAATAAAGTTGGTTGCAGTTTTAAAATCGAACTCCTATTCAGTGTATTTGTTCTTGGGGCTGTTTTAAGAAGTTGTGTTTTTGGTGTTGTGACATGTTCACATTTTTTCATTTAAGGGAAAATTTAAAACTTCTATAATTGGGTCATTGTGTAATTTCTTTCTATCAAAACTGTGTAGGTTGTTCGGAATCCTATAATTGAAAAGCAAAGTAAAGATGGAAAACCAGTTGTTGAATACCAAGAGGAGGAGTTGTTGGTAATGTGTCATTTTTCATTTCATATTTCTAGAAAATGTTGAGTGACTTGGTCAAATTTAAGCTATGTCACTTTTGAAGAAGATTCTCAGGATATGCAGAGTGAAATTTTATGTCTATTTATATTAGCACAATTGTATAAAAATGTATATCTTGTCTCACTAATGCCTTCTAAGCATCTGTTAAGAGCCCTCATAAAATTGGGCTTACTGGTTCATAACTGAATTTAAATACATCTGATTGTCCACACACAAAAGTTGTGGGTCCAAGCTTACACGCATTATATTGTGTTGCCAAGAGTATTGTATATTTGCTGTGCCATGGACTTTTTTGCGCTTGAATTGAGATCTGTGTGTGTGTGTTCGCAGGACAAGGTTTATAGCTCAGTGTTACGACAGTGCTACAGTATGTACAAGGTAAGCAGGACGCGCTTTCTGAAGTTAGTCTAACCAGTTACCCCTGTTTACAGGAATCGTTTAAAAATCTTAATTCTTTCGATGACTGCCTGGTGAGTACGTATCTGTTTTAGGGGAAGAATAATGGAGCCTTTGAAACAGCACTGAGGTTTATGTCCACACTTATTCACTGAGTACTGAGTTTTTCTCTATTCCCAGCCTTGTACTAGGAATGTATCCCTGTTGGTAAAAAAGAGTCCATGTGCTTGAGGAAAGAAAAGGCATACTGCAGATATTTGTGTGATTTAAGGAGTGGCGATATTACTTATGTGAAGTGAAACTTAGGTATGAGTTGAGATTTAAAAAAATGCAGGGCACCTGAGTGGCTCCGTCGGTTAAGCGTCCGACTCTTGATCTCAGCTCAGGTCTTGATCTCAGGGTCATGAGTTCAAGCCCAGTGTTGGTGTCTATGCTGAGCGAGAAGCCTACTTAAAAACATATGCCCTGGGGCGCCTGGGTGGCTCAGTTGTTAAGCGTCTGCCTTTGGCTCAGGTCATGGTCCCAGGGTCCCCGGATGGAGCCCCGCCCCGCATCGGGCTCCCTGCTCCGCGGGGAGCCTGCTTCTCCCTCTCCACTCCCCCTGCTTGTGTTCCCTCTCTCGCTGTGTCTCTCTCTAATAAATAAAATCTTAAAAAAAAAAAAAAATCTGGGGAGCCCTACGTGGCTAGTGTGGATGTGAACACCTGAGAAAAGCGGTGATTTAGGTGCCCGTGTAACTGCTGCCCTCGTCCTGCCCCAGAGCAGAGCCTCCCTCCCTGGTCAGCCGCGCACTCCCTCATCCTTTAGTGTGCTTGGAAAAACAAAGCTGTAGATCTTGAAAGAAACAAAAATGACTTTGAGAGACTTATGAGAGAACTTGTAAAAATTAACATCCGCAGAGATTAGAGAAGTGTATCTATAAAACTGAAACAGAACATGAAAGACTCAGGGCTAGAGTAAACTTAGGTTAATTGAAAACATAATTCTTAAAATTATTTATTGGGGCAAGATACACATAGCATAAAATTTGCCATTTTAACCATTTTTAAGTGTATAGTTTGGTGACATTAAGTACATTCACAGTATTGGACAGACGTCACCACTGTCTGTTTCCAAAACTCGTCTTCACCCCAAATTCTGTACCCATTAAACAATAACCCTTCAGCCCCTGTCCCCTGAAAATATAATTTTTGACAGGAGAACTTCATTAGAAGGGTTAAAGATAAGTTGCCCTGCCTCAAATATAAGATTAAAATGACCAGAGATGAAAATCTTGGGTTCAAGAAAGAAGGTATTGGATTATTTCCAATAATATTGTTGGAACTGATAGAGAAAATCATTGAACACTACATCAAAAACTAATGATGTACTATATGTTGGCTAATTGAATTTAAATTAAAAAAATAATTTTTAAAAAAGAAAAAAATTTTAAAATTAAATAAAATATGGAGAAAAGATGGGAGAGAGGGATTTCTACATCTGATTCATAAAAAGTTGAATTAGTCAAGTGTATTATGAGCACATGTCTAGCTGAAGAAGAAGACATTTCCCAGATTGAAAAGGCCCACTGAATGTCTCACACAGTGAATCAGAAAGACCCACTCCAATGCACACAGTGGGCAGTTTCAGAAATATAAAGAGAAGAGCCCAGAAGCTTCCAGAAGGAAAATCAGGTCACCTGTAAATAAAACCGGCATTAGCAGCTGTTTCCTTACTGGCAGCAGATGTTAGGTAACAAGGAAGGAAGACTTTCAAAGTTCAGAGAGAGAGAGTTTTTTAGTGTAGAATTCTTTGCTGAGCTAAACGATCTCATCACAGGTGAGATCGAAGAAAGGTGTATTAATAGTGAAAAGTCTCAGAAAGGTTACCCCATGCATCCATTCTTCGGGTTTGCATGGGGTTGTATATCAGAATCAGTGAGGAAACCAAGAACGAGAATACCTTGGAATCCACAACAGTGGCCGTGACGCAGGAGAACAGTAAGAAGGAGGCTTGAGGTGATACACCTCTGAGTCGGTGACGAAGTTAGCACCTCTCAGGGACTTCCGCAATGGAACAGAGGAAGGGGGGCTCTGTTCTGGGCGCAGGGGCTCCAGAATAAAAGATGCTGCATTCATAAAATAGTATGGCTGCGAGATTTGATTGAATGTTGGGGGTGCTGAGGAATGGCACAGGAGGAGAGAATTCCAGGGAAGGTGTGCAAACAGACGTGTCTGAAAATGAACCGTAACTGGGGTAGGGCAAAGCCCACTTTTCTAGCAAGTTAAAATCATTCCCCTCTGAATGACATGGGGGAATGACTTTGAACCCTAGTGGAAGAAATATCCTGGTACACTCTGTTGTTTATAGGATTTCCTTTTTTGAGTCAATCAATAGGTAGAATTTTAAATGGGATGATGGCATCACAGTTACTTTAAAATGTTCTTTTTTTCAAAACCGCTTTATTGAGATAAAATTCACATACTGTATAGTTAGCCCATTTAATGTATTCAGTTCAGTGGTTTCTCACTGCAAAGTGCAGGAGTCCCCAAGACCACCCTCGCTCCTGACACAGTGCTAGCTCGGGGGCCCCCAAGACCACCATCAGGCCCGGGAATTCACTAGAGGTGCTTGCAGGACTCAGAGAAGCTGGCACCCTCCCAGTTACAGTTTATTACAGCAAAGGGGTGCAGAGGAAAGACGGTCCAGGGAAGGGGCGCACGGGGCAGGATCCGGGAGTCACCAGGCCCAGGCTTCCAGGTGTCCCCTCCCGGTGGAGCTGCGCAGACAGCACGGGGCCTGTTTCTCCTAGCGGGGATGTGTGACGTGTGCGGAGACTTATCATCCAGGGAAGCTCTCTCGAGCCTTGATTTCCAGAGTTTTACTGGGTGTTGGCCCTGGCCTTAGGCCCCAGCTCTCCAGAGCTCTGCTGATACCCCGTGGGCTCGGGGAAGAGGGGATGCTGGCCTGTGGTTTTTCTCTCCTGAAGTCGTGGTCTGGTTTTGGTATCAGGCTTCTACTGGCTGCAGGCTAAGTTGGGAAGTGTTTCCTCATCTCCTGTTTTTTGGAAGAGTTTGTGAAGGATTGCTGTTAATTCTTTGAATAATTGGTCACAGGGAAGCCATCTACATCTGGGCTTTTCTTTGTTGGAAACCTTCCCATTATGAAAGAGTCTCCGTCCTTGTTCTAGGTCTTATTGTCTATTTCTTCTCTAGTCGGTTTCAGTTGTTTGTGTCTTACTGGGAATTTGTTCTGCTTGTTATTCAGTATGTTCGTATGTAATTTTTCATAGTGTTATAGCCTTAAAATCTTTTTTCCTCCCATAAATCAGTAATGGTGTCTCCTCTTTAATCCCTCATTTTAGTGGTTTGTGTCTCTTCTCTTTTTGACTTGGTCTAGGCAGTCTAGCTAAAGGTTTTTCAATTTTGCTCATCTTTTCAGGGAACCAACTTCTGGTATTATTTTTTTCGTATTGATGTTCTGTTCTCTATTTCATTTATTTCAGCTCTGATCTTCATTATATTCTTCCTTCTCTTGCTTTAGGTTTAGTTTACTCTTTATTTCTAAGGTCTGAGGATGGAAATTTAAGTTCTTGATTTGAGATCTTCCTTCTTTTTAATACTGTATGTGTTGACGGCTCTGAAGTTATAAAGACTGCTGCTGTTAATACTCAGATGTAGTGGGTGTTCTTAAACATTCCTCCATTTGCTGTCTGCCCTTTGGCCAGTTTCCCTCTGGAAATTTGAAGTATTGTTTTTTATAATTTTCTTCAATTATGGTGTTTAGACTGAGGAGAATCCGTGGAGCTCCTCATGCTGCCATTTTGAACGGGCTCCCTAGTCCTGGTCCTCCGGGGATACCTAACTGATCTGTGTCTGGAGTAACTGTGGCATCTGAGATGAGCATGTAGGTAGGGGAGGGGCGAAGGGTAGGACTGTGTGCCAGCTGACAGTCACTGGGGAAGTGATGGCCTGCAGGGTTTGTCATGCCATTCTGTGTGCTTTTCTATGTATTGGAAATTCTTCAAGTTTTTAAACAAGGACTTGAAAGGCACATTTAAAAAAAAACCAACCTGTAAGGAGTCACGCATGCAGATGCCTGCAGGAACCCCGCAGATGGTAGACCTAAGCGCATGGGGCTTCAGTATGGAGTCGTGCTGTCAAACACGGCGTCGCTCGAGTCGGAAGGAGGCCAGGGGCCACTCACCTCCACGAGGCAGCACCTCGGAAAGCAGAGCTGGTGGTTTCAGCTGTGCTGGTATCTCAGGAGAGGCTGGAAGTTGGAATGTTCATAGGAAACTAGCTGGCATCTAAGTCAAAATTACACAGAAAGAAACACATGCTGGATGGAACTCGCCTGTGAGCCACGAGTGTTGCAGCCTGTTTATAAGCAGGTGATCATTACGATTCACTTACAAAATAGTGCAGGTGTGCTTAGATATGACTGTGGAAAGAGAGGTACAGCTGCCAGAGGTTGAGAGGAGGGTGTGGGGAGAGGTGCAGAGACGGGGGGCGGGGTAAGTGTGCTCGTGTGAAAAGCAGCAGTCCAGGAGCTGCTGCCTGAGACTGTGGCGTGAGAACTAGGCCACTGGGGCTGTGGGGCAACCGGTGGGGAAGCTGGAGCGGCTCTAAACAACGGGGAGGAAGAGGGAAGCTGCTGAGGGCTCATTCCTGTCGTGACGTGAGGAGGGATCCATTGTGACATCTGAAGGCCGCGGCGCTAGAGCCGTGATATCTACAGCCGTTAAAAGTGGCCGCCTGCAGGAACGGGCCTCAGGAGGAGCTCTGTGGCTTTCCGTCCTGAGGCCGTGTGTTCTGTGTGACTGTTTCACCACCATGCGGTGTATACCATATACAGTGATACATTCAGACGTGTCTGGTTGTTGGATTTATGGTCTTGGTTGCTGTAGCCAGTGTCCCAACGGCAACATTCACTATCATGAAAGGGGAGACAAGGGGACATTAATCTGCTGGGGGCTTTTTAACTGTGTTCATGGAAATTTTCAAACATACACAAAAAGAGAGACTAGAAGAATGAATCCCCAGGCGCCCAGCACACAGCTTAATTTAATTAACATGCTGATCTTTCATCTGTTTTCCCTGTACTTTTTTTTTGCTAGCACATGTTAGATCATGTCATTTCACTCATAAATGCTTCAATTTGCATCTCTAATAAGGGCATCTGTTTCCACCTAACCACCATGTTATTAGCACGCTTGGCAAAATAAACACTTTCCTTAATGTTCTGTGCTCTCCAGTCCATATCCAGATTTCTCCAGTTGACTAAAAAATATCTTGACCAAGTGATTCAAGTCAAGATTCAAACAAGGCCACTGCATTGGGTCATCGAATTTCTTTTTTGTGCCGTTTTGTAATCTTTGGTTTGTTTTCTCTTCCCAGGCCATGAGTGCAGCTGTGTGCTTTATGATTGATGGTAGGTATACACCTGTATCTGACTTCAGCCCGAGCAGATAAGCCTTTTCTCTTTAACCTTGCTGTGTTCTATCCCTAAACAGTAAACATGTTGTCATAGACGCTCTGTGAAGCACAGCTCCCCTCTGTGATCCCTGCCAGGGAACTAGCTCTTCCTTGTATTTTTGACGTCCTGGCCTACCTGCTTCCTAGCGGTGGGCCCTGGGCACCTTTCTGTGCCTCCCTGCCTGTTAAGTGATAATAAGAGTACCTTTATCAAAGGGGGTTCAGGGGGTTAAATGGGGTCATGTTTGTAAAGGACCAGAGAGCAGCTGGGCCCTGAATGCTGTGTGCTGTGCGTTAAATATTTGACCTTCTTCGGTCTACTGGGGGTAGCCAGCCAATTTACCAGCCCACGGGGTGTGCTTAAATTGATATGCACAATGAGATAGGTCTTCGACTCTTTTACACCTTAAATATAACTTTGACTCTTCTATTTCTCTTCTCTTTGGGAGGGGAGGGAGAGCCAGTCATTTAATTGTTTTATTTTCCTGATCAGTAAAGTTTTCATTGGAATACTGTAATTAAGACTGTTAGATGAATATTGACCTTTTCGACACAAAGAATTCTAAAACTTACTGGTATTTTTTAAATTACTCATTAGCCTCTGTACAGCCCACGTTGGATTTTTGCCGAAGACTGGACAGCGTTGTTGGGCCCCAGCTCACAGTGCTGGCATCTGACATTTGTGAGCAGTTTAACATCAACAAAAGAATGTCTGGGTTTGTACTTTGCTTCGTGTTTACTTTCTGGCATTTAACTGGTTTGGGAAGAAGAAGAGTAGTTTTTACTTAAGAATATGGATGGTAATATCATTTGTGTTTTCTCTGAATCCAGAGAACAAACGTGCAGTTCAGGCCTGTCTGAAAAGCTCCCTGGGGAACTGTTCCCTGCGCTTTGCTGCTCCATGATGATGGTGGGGGCTGGGTCTTCTGTGAATACCTTCCCTCAGCTCTCCCCTGACTGTGGCGTAAACGAATGGGGTGGGGTGTGCTAGCCGTGCCTGTGGGCTGGACCTCGTGAGCACCACCTCCCATCCCACTTGACCACCAGCCCAGACTGTAAAATTCACACCGGCAGTGGTAATCAGCAGGGCTTGGGCCTCGTGTAGACGGAAAGTACTTTGCCTCTTGTGCATACATGTAGGGGGGAAAGTTAGCTATGATGTTGGCCTTTAGGGCCTTGGGCTGGAATCTGGTGCCTTGAAGGACTGTAGCTCGAGTAGTGTATCAGGAGACTCAGGTTAAACTCATTTTGGTTCTAAGAACACTGGGAAGTCATTGAACCTCTTTCTACTCTCTTCTCAATGTAGTCATGTTATAAAGATTAAGCGAGCACGTGGGAAGTACTTTGAGAAACAAAAGCCCTCTTTATATGGACTTCTTGTATGTTTGAGAAGTTACTAACGTGTATGAATTTATGTATAACCTGTGTTTGTAGCGATCCCATGCTGTGCCTTTATGGTCTTCCAGAAGCACCAGCCTGTAGAGAGGTCACACACAGGGTCCAGGTGATAGTATGTGTAGGTTCTGTATCTGCGTGTGGATTGTTACTGTCAACAGCTTACTTCGCATTAGAAAACATAAGGCCAAGGAATGAACGTGCCTGACCGCTTTCCCTCTTGAGGTTTAATTTTTTCCAATTCAATTTAATTAACATACAGTGTATTATTAGTTTCAGAGGTGGAATTTAGTGATTCATCAGTTGCATGTAACACCCAGTGCTCATTCCATCAAGTGCCCTCCTTAATGCCCATCCCCCAGCTACCCCATCCCCCCCCACCTCCCCTCCAGCAACCCTCAGTTTGTTTCCTAGAGTTCAGCATCTCTTATGGTTTGTCTCTTGAGGTTTACTTTTTTCACCATGAAACTGTCAGATTTTTCTGAAGGAAACATAAGTGAGTCAGATCTGTTGGGTATCATGCAAGTTATAAACTGCTGAGTGGAGAGAGAGAAGGTGTAGTTCCCTGCTTTCCCCAAACCCCCCCTCACCTCCCGGGAGATTGCTGGACATGTTAACTGTTCTGCCTGTGCTTTCCGTAGATGTGACGGATTTTAATTAACTCATCAGTGAGTATCTGAGCAAGTCTTGCTTGTCAGGGACCTTCTATTCTGCAAAGGTCAACTTTCCTTGGGATTGTACGGAGGTCATGTCACCTATTTTTCATTTTTCACTTTGGTTTTATCGGTTTTTATAACATACAAGTTTGGGATTTACATAGTCCATCTTATTAGTCACTTCCTTTAGATTTCTCCCTTCGGTGTCATACTTGTGGCTTTCTACCCCGATATAAAAATAGGTTATTTTTATCTCTGGTACTTTTATGGTTTTATCTTCCCATGTTTCAATCTTTAATTCACCTGGAATTTTCAAGGGCTAGAGGAAGGGCTCTGAGATTTTTTTTCCCCAAATCAATAGTTTGAAGAAAGGAGAGGGCCATGGACATTAACAGTCTAATTTCATGAGAAAGCAGTTTTCTCTCCAATATTTTATTATGGAAATTTCCAAACACAGGAAGGTGGAAAAAATGACGCCGTGAACACACACACAGCCCCCCACTTAGATTCTACAGTTAACCCTTTGCTGTGTATGGTCTAGCACAGCTCCGTCTATCGCAGGGGACAGGTTTTGACTGTTAACAGAACTGCGTAGTATCCGTGGCCCCTGGGAGACGCGCACCTGGAAAACGCCATGGTCGAACACACTAAACTTAGGGCAGAACAGAGACCCTAGAGGCACAGTTGTTTTTGTCTTTGAAAGTTGACCTTAGGGCGCGCCTGGGTGGCTCAGTCGCTAAGAGTCTGCTTCTCCCTCGGCCCCTCCCCCTGCTTGTGTTCCCTCTCTCGCGGTCTCTCTCTGTCAAATATATAAATAAAATCTTAAAAAAAAAAAGAAAAAAAGCTGACCTTAGGGTTGCTCTCGACGCATCTGAGATTTTATACGTTGTAAGGGGCTCTCGCTTGCCAGGCTGTTAAGTATCAGCTGACTAGAGGAAAACGCTCTGAATTCAGTACAAAAGATAATGTGCTTTTCTTCTGGAAATCCTGACCCAGATCAAACCATTTTACACGCTAGTCCTAGGACCTCCAAGACTCATCCCAGCTCCTCCCGGCATTGCCGAAGGGTGAGGGGTGCTGACGAGGCAGCCAGCTGTCCCCGTCCTGACCCCAGAGGTCAACGCCAGGTCCCCTGCTGTTCTGTCAGGCTCAGTCCTCGGGGGAGAGCAGCCATAGCGCTGGCTCAGCGCGAGAGGTTTCGTGTTGAATCCATACTCTTAAGCTGCAGTTCTTTTATTTATTTATTTATTTTTAAAAGATTTTATTTATTTATTTGTCAGAGAGCACAAGTAGGCAGAGAGGCAGGCAGAGGGAGAGGGAGAAGCAGAGGCCCCGCTGAGCAGGGAGCCCGACGCGGGCCTCGATCCCAGAACCCTGGGATCGTGACCTGAGCCGAAGGCAGCCGCTTAACCAACTGAGCCACCCAGGCGCCCCAAGCTGCAGTTCTTTTAATGTTCCTTAGAAAATTGAGGTCACCCCTTTAAAGAATGGCATGAAGTAGGTTTGTTTGGTATTTGGTTTCTATTACTTGTGTGACACCTTGATTTTTTTCTACTCAAGGACTTAGTTTAAGTATTTTAAAAAAATTTTTTAGAGAGTAATTTATGTCCTTAATTTTAATTTCTATTTTTTTAAAACATTTTTTTGAGAGAGAGAGAGAGCAGGAGCAGGGGGGAGAGAAAGAAGCAGACTTTCCGCTGAGCGGGGAGCCCAACATGGGGCTCGATCCCAGGACCCTGAGATCATGCCCTGAGCCAAAGGCAGACGCTTAACCAACCGAGCCAGCCAGGCATCCCCTATGTCCTTAATTTTTAAATTCAGAAATATAAATATTGGAAATCTTCTCTCATTTAGCTTGTATGTTTTTAGACTTGTACACATAGGAAAACTGACATATGCACAGTGTTCTTTACGGATGGGCTTTTTAAACCATGTCATGTTGTAAATCTGTTGCTTTTAAAAAATATATGGCACGAACATCATTTTAAACCAATAAATATGGATCTGCCTCTTCTCTTTCAGGGTTTCATGTTACTTAATTGGATAGATGAGCTCTGTTTGTTGAATCCTTGTTGCATTTGATGGGTGGTCTGGTTCTGGCTGCTAGCATTAAAACAGCTCTGTATTAAACCATCTGGTGCATACGTGTACTCATCCTGTTCGTAGATATCCCTGGCATGGAGTTCTGGGGCAGAGGGAATGCGCAGTGACAGTGGGTCACCTCCCACAGGGGCCACCAGCACTCATGCACTGTGCTGTGTCAGACGCCCACTAGGTGACACGGAGGTTGGCATTTCTGTCTCCCACGAACCGCCTGTCCGTGTCCATTGGCTCTTCCCGCTCCAGTGCTTTATATCTTTGCTTTTACATCTGTGCTTTTCAGTCATACCACGTATTTTTTTGAGTTTGGTTTTACTATTTTTGATAACATGTCTGGGATTTGTATGTAGTCCATTTCATTGGGCATTTCCTTTAGATTTCTCTTTTCACTGGCCTACTTGCAGCCTTCTATCCCAATATCATTTTTAAAATGCCATTATCGTCTGTGGTACTTGTATGGTTTTATCTTGTGTCTCAGTCTAATTCACCTGGAATTTTTAAGGGCTAGAGGAAGGGCCCTAATTTAAGACTCTTTCCCCCAAATTGATCGTTTTCTGAATTCGAGACATTTGTTTCTGTTTCTTTCGCATATTCCTACTCACTAGCCACTTTGAGTGCTAAAATTTGGAAAGGTGTGAGGAGGAGGAGGAGGTACAAAGTTATCGGAAAAGGAGACTCTTTTCCTGTGAGCAATTCTTCTAATCCGTTTTTATCATTTTGAATACATTTGTAAACCAGCCCAGTTCCTTAGGAGGTTGACAGCGCTAGGATTCCTAGTGAGGAGCGCACCCACTGACAGCAGGTTGCTGACAATGAGACTCAGGACGGGATGCCAGGCAGGAGGGAAGCGAGAAGGGATGGGTTGGCCCGGCTGGCGTCCAGAGGGGGTGCAGGGGGAGCAGGAGCGGGGAAGCCTTCCTTCCAGGGCAGAGTTCACGTGCATATTCCAAGGGCTCAGCTGTGCCCCACGTCCTGATTACCCTAGACATGCAAAGGAACAGAGCTGTACTGTGTAACTCCTAAATTAAGAGCAGTTTTCCTTTTTTACAATCTACACATCGGTCAATTCAGAATCTAATTTTTTAGTTCGGTTTGTTAAGTGAGGAATAGCCATCCTCACCTAGAAACCACGTGTCTGGCAACCTGAGCCGTCTGGAACGAGGCCCAGAACAAGGAAAACCACCAGATGGTTTCGGTGCTCCCAGCCAGCCATTGACGTCCACAGGGAAACTCCACAAGCAGTCAAGCACCTGCTAAACATCTGCTGATTTCCTCCACCGGTTCAGAGCCTTTCCTGGCGTGCTCTTGAAGTTTGGATGGGTTTTCACATACCTGGTCCTTAAACACTGAAGTCTCTGGCAGCTCAGTAAAACTGAAGCTGTTTACTCATGGGAGACCTCCCTGTGACTCTGCCAATCACAGATCCTTGGGTTTTCAGCCAGTTGTAGAAGAAAGAGTCAAAGGGATGCGAAGAAAGGGTTGACAGAGAACAGAAAATCCTCTCTAAAAACAACCACTTAAGACAGGCCCCACCTTTCCATGTTCTTTGAGGATATCGTTACGGTGCTATATTTTTAAACCAAACTTTGCAACAGATTGTCAAGAGGAATTCTGCATTTCCCTGTGTTCAGTGTATCTTATATTGACGTAGGTAACTGTATTTAGCATGTTCTTTTTTTAAGAAGGCAAGAAATTTGCATTTCTGTGTTTAGGAAAAAAAAACACTTTGGTGTTTAAAAGGAGTCTTTTCGCTCTTTGGAAAAGATACCAGGTGAATGTGGCGGCTACTCCTTCAAAACTAGCACAGCGTTCGTTAGATGTTACTTTCGATAGAACTAAAAGCCTGTAGGATGAACGTTATCCTTGCTGTTTTTATTGTGAGCTTGTCTCTCGTTTTTCTTTTATTAAGAGGACAAGTTAATAGTGAAAAAGCAAGTAGCAATTTTTCTATTCCTGTTTTTACGTTATCCTTGTGGAAGGCGGAGTAGAAAGAGGCCACGTTGGTCCCTGTTGTAACTGCTGCATAGCATTTGCTCATGTAAATTTCCATCGTGGGTACAAAAGAAATAATTTAGATCTTCTTAGAAGAGTATTTTACATATTCTAAGTGAGGGAAAGAGAGAGGCCACAGAGAATGTTTTGGGGTGAAACGGAACAGCCAGGGCTGGAAGCCTGATTGTGGCTGGGTAGAAGTTTGTCTGCCTGGACAGCAAAATTCCCAACTCTTTCCACACGTCTTTGAAATGTTCCATCCTCCCAGTGTTTCTCGTAGTTATACTTGCTTTTCTTAGTTTTAGGGGCCTACTTAAAAACATATTCTGGTTTTGTTACGAATTCTCTTTTCATTTTCCTGGACACTAAGCCATCCACATTCTTTCTTTACCTAGATGTAAAGTATTACAGTAGTAACCCACTTTTCCAGAGGTCGGATTTCCGGCACCCTCAGCCCACCAGAACATGGCTGCTAACCCAGAAGTAAGCAGAGAAGGCTTCTGAGCCCCCCCAGTGGCAGGGGGTGCTCAGACTGTCACCACACCCGAGTGTACCTGAAGTAAAGGGTGCAGTGAGCAGGGAGGGCGGGAGGCTCCGGGAGCTGTGTCCTCGCTGTCGGAGGGGCTCCCTCAGGAGCCCAGACTTGGACCTGGGAGGCAGTGTGGTAGCCTTGGCCAGTCGTTTCAAATAGTAAAAGATGTATTCCAATTAAAATATTCATTACGCTTCAGCAGAAAAGCCTAATACGCCTTAGAACGGTCTCCCTCTAGGGTGGTGAAAGCTTTGTTACGGGAGTAAGCTTCAGTTCTGTGGTGGATGACATACAGGGAGCGCATTCGTTCCCCAGCACCGTGGGATAAGGGAGCCGTTACTCCCCTAGAACGGGTCAGCAAACAGCTTCTGCAAAGGGCCACATCATACGCATTTCAGATTTTGTGGGCTGTGTAGGTCGCAAATACCCAACTGTCGCTGAAGCGTGGAAGTGGCCAAAGACGGTACGTGAACATACAGGTGTGGCTGTGTGCCGCTAAAGCGTTTAGGAAAAAGGCCACGGTTGGCCCCAGGGCCTCTAATTGTTTGCTGACGCCTCTGCTAGGAGACAGGTGGCCTGTGTGTAGTTTGCACTTTTTTAAAAAATTCAAAACGCGGAGACTAGTCAAGTGATTGCCATTTCTAAAGCACTATTATGGATAAAATCATCACAAAAATGGTTATAATACTGGTTTTTCAAAAAAAGATAAACTTCACCTATCTGGAAAATTCATCATATCGATTGCTTCACGGTTATCAAGTAAGTTACTAGTGAACAAAGAGCCTATTACATCTTAACTGAGATTCTTGATTTGAAGGCCCAGCGATCGAAAATACAAGGCCTTAGCCACATGGATTTAAGGTTTTAACAATGTAGTGCTATTGTTTGGATAATTATTCTTTGAGAATGTTACCATTTTAATGACATGTTTTCACAGGTCTGAAAAAGAACCTCAGTTTAAGTTTATCTACTTCAACCATATGAATTTAGCTGAGAAAAGTACAATTCACATGAGGAAAACACCTAGTGTGTCACTTACATCCGTGCATCCGGATTTAATGAAGATTCTGGGTGACATCAACAGTGATTTTACTAGGTAATTCTAACAACTTCTCAACTTAGGTGTTCCCTTTCTAAGGAGAGAAGAGGCATTGAAGGAATCCTCTTCAAAGGAGTGGCCCCGAGCCGCCTCAGAGGGCCACCCTTCCAAGGAGATCAGGAGGCCCCGAAGTCACTGGTCACTTGCACGTGACTCCCCACACTTTTCAAGTGACTGGTTTCCAGTTTCTGGTCTTAGAATGTGTGTGTCTTTCACGCTGTAGCTAACCCTATAACAAACTGTTGCATTTTGGAACTCGTGTCTTGCAGAGTGGATGAGGACGAAGAAGTCATTGTGAAGGCAATGAGCGATTACTGGGTTGTCGGGAAGAAGTCTGACCAGCGGGAGCTGTATGTTATTCTGAATCAAAAAAACGCAAACCTGATTGAAGTCAATGGTAAATAGGCTTTGGTACTTGAGCAGAACTTGAGTGCTGTCCATTCAGTGTGCCGGGGGAAACCTGCTAGAGAGTGAGTCACGACTGTGGGGATGTTGAGCAGATGCCTGTTGCTTAAAGGAAACCATGGTTTGATCCATTCTGTGTTCTTCTGTAGCACAGTGCCTTGAAAAAGTACATGAAAAACTTCCCTGTGTTACAGGAGACCTGGCAGTGGCTGAAGGAAAATTTTCTGTAATGCTAAAAGGAAAAAAAAATCCCGTGGCTTTATTCACCGTGTATAAAAATGTCCACTTTTATTCCCGGTGATAAAGAGACATCCTGAGGCAGAGCTGTCAGGTTCACTGCACGGGTTACAGCCCTCTGTCCGTGGCTGAGCAGACCGGTAGCGCGGGACCTCCCGCCCGCCTTCCAGTTGTCTGGTCCCGAGCGCACTGTGGTTCCAAGGATCGCCTCGGCTGATCCTGACAGCTGCTTGTGCTGGAGAGGGTGGTGTCCCCTTCACCGCCTCGGGCTCTCCTGCTGCTCCGCTTGAGCGGGACGGTGGGGCAGTGCTCTACGTAGGAGAAAAGTTAGGTGTGTGGTTTTGTTTTCTGCACAAATCTGCTAGGACGCAGTACATTTTTCTCTTACTAGTACTTGTAGCGAGAGTCGTGTGCATTAGAAACAGCAGTGAATGCACCCAGCTCAGGGGGAACGGAGTCATGATGGTGCCGCCCCCGGGGGAGCACTTGAACCGCGGCCCAGGTGGCAGCTAGGGTTCCTGGAGGGTTGTACCCGATTGTCAGCGTTTCAGAAGTTGCACTCCAGTGCCCCAGCCCATGGGCGTGTCAGGCGCTTGCGCCTCCCCCGGCCCCGAGGAGCACTGTGTGGCACAGCACTGAGGTCTCGGGGCACTCGAAGCTTTTGTTGTCCTTTCTCTTGATTGGTGAACATTTCTGACCTAGGCCTCGGAGCTTAAAGGTCAGTAAATGCAGACATTTATTCCCAACTCTATTCCAGAAGAGTTTAAAGTGCTAACGTATATCCTGTAACCTTTTAAGTGAAAACCTCAGTTTCTCACTCCCGTTTTCTGCCTTTTTTGTTTGTTTGTTTGTTTTTTGCAGAAGAGGTAAAGAAACTTTGTGCAACGCAGTTCAATAACATATTCTTCTTGGATTGACCCGTAATGACTCGCCGAAACATCTTTTAAAAAACAACTCAGCAGGCATTTTGTTTACCGCTGCAGGTTCTCGGTCATATTATTGACTGAATTAATGACAATAGTAAAGCAATACTTGCTTTGAAGAATCAAATTTCTACTCAGTCCGATGATCCGCTGGGGTTTTTAGATTTTAAATATTTATGTGGAAATAATTAAAGGTAGTCGGCTACATCTCTTTCATTCCATTCTTTTGACCTTATGTGAATATTTTATTGGAAAATAAGACAAATAAATTGTTAAGGTTTTTAAAATTCTGGTTTGGCTTTGAGTCTCTCACCTGTTGCTTGCTTGTGGACCACTCCGCTCAGAGGGCCCCTGGCTCGTCCTTGGGGATATTCTAGCAGCTAGAGCTTCTCGGAGTTCGGGTCCCTTCCCTGGTCACTAGATCTGTGGTAGCGAACCCAGAGCATTTGGCCAAAGTAATTGCTAGACTTGGTTTTTCTCTTGAGTACGAATGTGATTTTTAGACCACGTATAATACAAAGGACTGAATGGAAGTGCCCCAGTGTGGTCTAAACGGCAAGCATTCTTCATTTGTCGTGTAGAACCCCCAAGTGGCCACAGCTGCTTAAGGTGTCCTCACAGCTGAGATGTAGCCTGGCTGGAATTTTTGTTGCCGTTTTCATGTCTTATGTAATTTAGCCTTTCCATTATGAAATCATGAATCACTCTTCACCCATGAGTTACCTGAGACTGTGTCTCTTTCTGGCAAGAGAAGGCATTCGGTATCATGTATTCATTGCTGACTTATTAATTGCAGCACAATTAGATCATGGTCTCGGATGTATCCTTTGAAGTTGTACTTTTCAACCTAAAATGCAGTCAGTGTTTATTCTCTATTGCAGTCCTGTTTCTGCGTGTTCAAACTTTTCAGTTTCCTTGCTTATCCTTACTAAATGTTTGTCTTTTTGATCTGTTTCCTCCCTGTGATTCTGCCAGCTTTTGCAAGGCCAAGATGTAAGACGTTTATGAATAATGCATCTTTTGAGGGGTTGGTCCTTTTATCATTATTTCTGGGTTTATCCCTGTTCAGTTGTTTGCTTTATATTGTTCTTTATTTTTTTTAGAGAGAATGAACAGGCAAGGGGGTGGAGGAGCAGAAGGGAGAGAGAATTTTTTTTTTTT